TCAACAGTTTTACCAATAAAAATGAGCTACAGGGGTAAATCTGATTATCGCAATAAAATCATGCAAAATGTAAAATGTATATCTTGGCAACTCTAGACTTTTACTGTCTTGTGACCATGTATTTTGGAACCACCCATAATTTCTGCCAGACTGTGAAAAGGAGAAACATGTGGGAGGAGTGAAAGGCACCCATTTACTGTTGAAATGTTTTTGGCTTTTAAAGTAAAATTTTAAAGCTATTTCAAAGCAAATTTATCAAGGACTAAAAATATTTATGATGGATATAGTTGATTTAGCAACACAGAAAACCATGCAAAACATTTAGCTCAATATTAGCCTGAATTAGTAAGCTAGCTAGTTTTTCTTTTCCCCAAAATGATGGGGATGGGGCAGAGTGAGCCAAATGCTGTGGGGTAAATTGAGCCAGCATTTTAACTTACCCCACCATAAGGCACTGAAGTTACGTTAAACCTCTAACGTATAAACTGGTATTTTAATATGATATTATGCAAGTGGTTTAGTTTATCATATATATATACATATTGTTTGTAGTTTATTTATACATATAATCAGATATATCTTTCCACCTGTAGTCCCTAATGGATTTGTAGACATTGCAGAACAGCTACCATGCCAAGAATCTTTTGACTAAAAAGCTTATTAGTTTCAGTGATATTTAGTGTTCTCAAACGATTAATCGCAATTAATCACATCCAAATTAAAAGTTTTTGTTCACGTAATATATGTGTGTGTACTGTGTACATTTATTATGTATATATAAATACAATACATATACAGTATATATTTGGAAAATATTTACATGTATTTATTCATGTAATCATATTAATGTAATTTATATTATATATAAATATATTTAATATATAAACATATTTCTCTTAAATATATACATACATGTGTGTGTATTTATATAATAAATACATACAGTACACACACATAGCCTATTACGTAAACAAAAACATTTATTTTGGATGCAATTAATCGCGATTAATTGTTTGACAACACTACAGTGACATTTATTTTTTCATTCTTATTCAGTTTTTATTTAATTTTACTCAACAAACTCTCTGTTTAATCTGTTTTTGGGAAGGTTACAATTTTGGTGTTCAACGTTGTTTGTTTTAGAAATGCATACAATTACAAAGATTGAAATTGAAGCATCATTAGGTCGGTTTTATGTTGTTTAAGTTAGCTTTAGGAAAAGAAATTGGCTATGACTGTTTGTTAAAGGAAATATTATTAAATTAGTTTTTAGAAGATGTAAAGACTCTTTAGACTGAATAGATTCAATCAGATGGTCAGTTTACACCCAGATGGTGCATCTTACCCACTGACTCAGGTCAATTTACCCTTAACCTGGGGCAAATTGAGCCACGGGAACACTTTTTTTAAAATAAGAAGCAATATCGTAGAACCCTTCATTAGAACCCCTCATAGATACATTCTGATCATTTAAAATGATAGGAAACATCCTGAAATTACTTTAGACACTTTCATTGTACTCCTGCCTCATTTTCCCTTATCACATAAATAAAAAATTGCTCATCTTACCCCACTCTCCCCTAAATGTTTTCTCAGTGTCATGGTGCACCTCGGTAGCGAGATAGATTAGTGACAACAGCACTGTCTCTTTGATAGCTTACTAGTTCATTCAGACTAGTTCAGGGCGAGTAACGTTAGGTAGATTTCTGTACTTTAATGTTGCTCACAAATATAAACACTACCGGTCGCCCTGGGGCTGCAGTTGTGTTGGGATGCGCTCGCCCATTGTAAAAATGGAAGTCGTAAACATTAGCATAAAATGCTAATATATCAATAGACGCACCAACCCGCACAAACACAACGATCATTTAAACAAACTGACCATAGGCCTTTACCTTCTGTAAACATTTTGAGTCTTTCAACGTGGAGAAGACATGGCCATTACTTGCACATTAGACCGCTGGGGGTGTAGTCATGATCGATGGTCATGATATGAGAAAGTGGTTAGGGCAAACAATGAGATTAAAAACGAGGTGCAGCGGTTTGATCTCGGCCCGCCGCTGTTAAATCGTTGCAAACGAAAACAGCGATTCAGCAAATTGAAAACGGTATAGGCTACTCAACTGTATTTTAACCAGGTGGATGGTGTAAAAATTAAAATGGCCCCTGTTGAAAAAACCAGCATATGCTGGTTAGGTATGTTTTGATGCTGGGATGCTGGTTTAAGCTGGTCCTTTGCTGGTTTATGCTGGT